GGTACAACCTAGGTTTTATTACGTCCGTCAAGTACATGATTTTTTTTAGATTTTACGAACCTTTTAACTATTTTATCCACAATTTGAATGAAGTGATTTTTTTATATATATAATAATTTAAAATATAATTTAAAAAATTATTAGTGAAATGATAAAATTATGTATTTGAATATATTTATACATGTGTTCAAATCTTTGAATAATAAATTTTATTTTTTTATTTAATTATGACCCGTAAAGTATAAAATTATTGAAATGTTTTATAAAAAATAATTTTAAATAAAATACTTTAATAATTTTCGAATAAATTATGACTAGATTAATTAACGATGTTAATTGTTATCAGAACATTTATTAGTAAATATAAATATATAATTACAATAATTATACTTAATAATCAATTAATATAATCATAAAATTATAAAAATTACTCATTAATAATTTTATCAACGCAAGAATTCTTTAAAAAAAATAATTATTATCAACTAGAACTTTTAAATACATTTTTCACGCAATAACCAAAGGGTGCACTGTTTATGATGATGTTTTGTGTTACCTTTATGGTTTAAGTATTTTCCTTTACAAATCATATTTGCTTTATTCAACCAGAACTGGTATAATTATGTGGCGAGCTGAGAAGTACCATCTATGCAAGGGTATATCAATGGGTTCTACGAACTATTTGTATATCATCTGTTTGATAAGTTTAAAAATAAAATAATAATAATAATATATTTATTTAACACTTAAAGGTATATGTTCATTAATTCAAAAAATATTGACATTGAGTAATAATATGTTCTCAAATTATATATTCATTTTACTTTAAGTACCTAATTTTTTGTATCAAATTAAATCTTAAACTATTACAGTTAATCATGTTTAGTCTTTATCGTTTTTTTTTTGCTTAAAAAGAACTTTCGGCCAATAAGATGTTTATAAAATTAGGTACTTCTTTTGATAAAAAATAGTTTAGGGGATTAAATTATTAATTAAATATTTGGCTAGAATTTGATTTTATGGAGCCCTAGAAACAAAAGTTTTGAGGCTATCAACCTAATCAAGAGATAAGATTCGGTAAACTACACTCATAGAGTTTTCACTTCAATTATCCAACTTTTAAAATTTATATTATATTAATTAAAATTTTCCATTACAATTATTATCGATAAAATATATTAATGTGACATGTTAATTTAAAAAAAAAAACTCTAATTTTCCAAATTAAAAACTGCTAAAAAGATATTTCCCTTGTTAATAGAATAGTCGTAGGTCAATTTCAAAGTTGAAAAATCTTTATTTGACAAAGAGATTAACATATTTTGATTTCAAGTTGATCTGATAGTTAACAATAATAGATTAAAATTTTTAAACTTTTAATTTTTATTAGATCTTCACTTCATTTCGTCGTCGTCTCAGCCGTTGTTGGATGATTTCTCTCTTTCTTTCTTTCGATTATAAGATACTGCCACCGTCTCACTAAAGTGTTCATTATTGAATTTTAAAAAGTCAAATTTTTTAAACTTTGACCTTGATTATTTTAAGTATTTTATAAAATATATATTTGAAAACTACTTGATTTAAGGATTTTAAAAATATATTTTTTCATATTTTTATCAACAATAAATCAAAGTTAAAAGAATTTGACAAAAAAAATCAACAGTAGATAGATTTAATGGGACAAAGGGAGTATCATTATTGAAAATATTTTATCTTACAAAGTTTATACATATTCAAGATGCTTATAACCTAACCCCAATCCAAATATACTATCCAAAGTCCACATCCAAATAACTATCATCCAAATCCAAAATACAATCATACCTCCAGCCTAATCCAAAGACATTAAATAAATAAGTTTGTAAATTAACTCAAGTCCACTTAAAAAATTAAATTAGAATTTTTGTATACAACTTATTAATTTTATTTCATTTTATTGTTTAAAATAAATATCAATAGTGTAATTTATTACAATAAACTTTGAATAGAATTATATAATATTTATAAATAATTTTTAATAAAATAATTATCATTCATTTTTATTTACAAATTTGGTCTTCTTCGGTTTTTAAATCTAATATAGTTGTAGTTCAAATTTTCTCGAATTTATTTTTTTTTAAATTTAAATCATTTACTAGTAAAGTCTCGTTTAGTGTCACTTTTAGCTAAAAACCCCGTTTTGATTAAAAAAATACCAAACGAGTAAAAAATAAAATAAAAAACTACAGTGGAAACAGTAAATTCAAACCGACCACAAAAGCTAGGTTTTTGTAGTTTTTTTTTATTTATCAACTTTTCATATGGAATCAAATTAAATCACAAACCTAATTAAGATGAGGGTGGAGGAGTTTGCATTCTACAAATATAACAAAATGAGGATGGCGACGCCACAAACCTAATGAAATTAAGTCACATTCATTATAATCAATTTCATAGCATCTCATTGTCATAATCCACATGTTGCTGCACATTTACAACCGTGCAAGTTTTGGACCTTCAACTACCTTTCTTCCTCTCTTACCGTCTTTGATTCCTGTGTGGTTATCAATTAGAAACAAGTATGTTCGTATTTGATTATTTCTAAAATTATAATCGTATTTAAGCCTTTTATGTTCATCACGTTTTGATTTTATCCCCTTTTAGCTTGCTTCTCTCGTGAGTCGTTAAGCTCTGGGGTTGTCCTTCAAAAGTATAAGTGGTTGGGCTATAAGATGCAAATATGGCTAAAGTTTTATATTTTTCATGCTTTATATAAACAATTTATTTCAATTTAATTTTTAAAGCTTAACAAAGATCAATTTTTCAATAAACTAAATTATGTATTTTTCATGCATGTAGATTTTGATTTGTATGTATATAATTTTGGAATAACAAATTATTTCAAATACAGCTTAATTTTTGAAGTTTGTATGCCCCACCTACATCTAAGTAAGTAGGGTTTTATTTTCATTTCTTCAAAAAGCTAGAAAGGACATAAAAGCTTCATATTAATTACATCACCCGAAGATCAACTGCCCTAAATGGAAGAGTAGTGGTGAAGACGAACACCGAAAAAATATCTTTGAAACTTTTCCATGACATGACAATGATGGCTCTTCCCTCTAGATTAAGAAAAAAAATCAGCTAGCTTTTAAACCCAAAAGTTGAAGGCAAGTTGCCATTTCTTGAAAAATCTAGCATGTTTCTGAGCCGATAGTCGACATGTGAGTCTACACATAAATGTCACTTGTAAGGTACAAAAAGAAAGGGTTCGGTTCGGTTCGGACATTATATAAATAACCTAGTTTCAAGCGTTTAACTCTCTATCAACCGATCATTTGAGTTTGACAAAGTATCTTCTCTAAGGTTCTTCAGTTCAACTAAAGCTTCAATCCTCAGTTTCATGCCAAGTTTCCATTAAAATGGCACCACATGGAGATGCTATTACTACTAGCACTTACGCAAACAACTTCCCATTGCCACCTAAACTCTCCAAGGACAGCCTCCACCGGACCGTATCCGATATCACTTTCCAAGTGAGCAAGGAAGTGCTCGATAACTACAAAGAAACATCCGCAACGTGTGAGAACCAGCTGCCGCCTATATCCGAAGTGGAAGATGCAAAGTTCGAGTGTTGCGGGATGAGCGAAGAGTACACCCCGGAATACATCGAGCGAATCCGCAACAAGTTCTTGGGGAAATGGATATGCGGACTGTGTGCGGAGGCGGTGAAATAAGAGATGGAGAAAAACGGAGGGAAGATAGAGGAAGGCTTGAGCGCACATATGAACACATGTGCTAGGTTTAACAAGATTGGGAGGGCTTATCCAGCTCTGTTGACAGCTGAAGCCATGAGGTAGATTTTGAGGAAGAGTTCGAGAGATGCGAAAAGTCTTAGGGCAAAATCTATTTGCCCTAGGGACAGATCAGGTACTCAGAAGAATGGTGGGATTGCCAGAAGTACCAGTTGCATTCCAGCAATTACAAGGGGCATCAACAATCTAAATGCTCCAAACTGATGAGATGAGATGAGAAGCGAAGAGAAGAGAAGAGAAGAGGCCAACCCCATCATAATGGTCAATAATATTTTATTAACCTATTTTTTCCTCCCTTTGTGTGGGCCAAACCTTTTATTAACTCGGTAGTTTTCTTTTTGGGTTTGGTCCAATTATTGTTATTAATTTGCTAATACAGGTCACTGACCTACATGTAACCAAAAGCTTAAACCACCTTTCCGCTAAGTGGGTATATAGCTGGGTTTTTCTAGGGATGCTCCAAATGCTTTTTTCGAATCCCTTTTCCTCCAACACACGAACATTCTGCTTGTGTTGCATGGTAACTTCTTTCGAGTAAAAACAGCTAGGTCCTGATGTTAAACAGTATTTGTGGAAGGGTCGGCGTCCTCTGCTCCTCCATTTTACTGATTTTAAGTTTGTATCCCATTTCCATGTATTAAATCCGTATATACATCAATAAATGAACCATATTATTTTAAGTACCATTTTTTTCTTGTATGGTAGAATACCGGCGATACATTACTAATGTGTCTTGAAATAAACATAGAAGATACCATTTTTTAAATAAAGGAAAAAGGAAATAGGAGTAATAATAAAAGGCTAATTTTCATCCGTAACTTTTGGACCGACTTTATCCGAAAACCAACCGTCGGTGAATCATATCAGATTTTGAACGGGTGTTCTCTCCATCAGATCAATACAGTTGGCACATGGCATGGCTTCACAACCAACTTTCGAGTTAGTAAATTGATTGGCTAACATTTTCAAGGTCTTCAACCATCCAACAATACTTAACAGTTGAAACGTGGCCCTCGAAGACCAAACATTGGTGGTCCACGGTCCTTTCAATGGACTTTGTTGTCACTAGAAAAAAAAACTAGAACACGTTGTATGTGTAGTGTCTGGTTCACAGTCGAGACCAAACCAATCAGATCGAACCTAACTGAACTTTCTAAAATCCTGAATAGCACAAATATAGTTTCACACCCACAGTACACCAACTGATTCGAGCATAAAATACTCATTACATTAAAAGTACGGAGGAATAACAGACCTGAAGATTTAACATAAGGGGTTTTTGCCACTACACAATCAAACCAACGAAACATTGTCCGATAATTTTGTCTCACCACGAGGGTGCAAAAGTTTAGACAAAAGACCAATTGATAAACATAAAGCAGATGCAATGAGCATTCTCTTCTTCATTCAACACTTTCCAAGCTACTGCTCTCTCATATGAAACTGGTCTTCCCATGCTTGACAAACATATTCCACCTTGTAGACAAGCAAATCCCTAACACCACAAAATAAAACAACTCCGTAAAATCTAGCTATCCATTAATTGGGTTTTTGTATTTAAGGATGATCTGTCAGGTTCAAAATCAGAATGAAATGCTAGACCTGTCGCATTATCTGTGGGAATTCCGTGCAGAGAGACTTTCGTCCATGTTCATCAAATATCTTCTCCAAAGTTAAGTCCTGCAGAGCAACCAGGGTTGTCTCCAGCATGTCTAGACCAGCCTGATTTGCGAATGTAAAAACGGGCAATGCCTGCAGAAACATCTATTAGTTTTAGATATAAAAAAAAAACAGTCTTACAGAAAACAACACAAAGGTATGAAATGGAGGAAATATGTACTTCACACATACCTTAAGAGAGCAGCACATGATAGCTTCCGAGTGATGCCACAAGGTCTTGAGAACAGATTCACTCCCTTCAGTGTTGGATTTGAGCAACTCAACGCCCATGTAGACCCTGCAAAATTATAACAAATCATACCTTGTTCAAAATTCCCACAATTGTTACTATCACAAATGCCGAGCAAATGCAACGTTTTATGAATGCATGGTACAAGATATCAATGCAACAGTAGACAACAAATTCAACAAGTCAGATTTTCAAATCTCTCGTCACAAAGGGTAAAAGCATTAAAGACCAAATGATAGGTATCCCCCATTTGACACTACATGAACGATCATGTTTCTTCTGCTACCCTTTCATAGTTCAGGCAAATAGCCTGTTGAGGTTGAATCCAGTTTTCCAACTCCATATCAAAATAATATTTCAAGGAATAAAATACATCCCAGAAAGATGAGGCAGGGTGACGTACCTATAACTCTGACAGATCAAACGTGCAAGAGTCTGTGCTTCAGGAGTACCTAGTGGGGTTCGGAGACCAGCTTGTGAACTTAAATATGATGGAGAAAGTGCCAATGCCACCCTCTGAACTGATGATATAATGCTACGAACATATTGTCGGGCCATAGATGCTACATGTTCTTGAAGGTGGCTCTCAAAAGCAAACTCGAATGCTATGGTCATCACAGATCTCACGCAGCCAGCACCAGCAGAACAATCATTAGATGCTTTATTTCCAGCTGGCCCAATCTCAAGAGCAGAAGCTAGGTCAAGAGTGCGATTTGGACTAGAGGCTTCCTGCATCACTTTCCGGGGCTTATTAAGAAACTTCACAAAAGATGAAGGAAAAGAAAGAAAAGCACCGACTCATCATAATAGAAAGAGTCTAACCTTCCCAGAATCGAGAGGAATGATACGGAAACCAGAAGGTAAAAGAGGTGCATCATCAGCAAAAGAAGCATCTATGGGAGCAAATATAAGCTCAGCACAGGTGCCCACAGCATTTTCATCCATTCCACTGCATAGCTATAAAACAATAGCACCGTAAAGTGAATTATGCAAACATAGGTCTTGAAAATAACAAAGAGAACATGGTCACATAACAAGTAGAGTGAAAACAACGATACTTACTTGCAGGAGAAAAACATCTCTCGCCATTAGTACATCTTCAGGAGATTGCGTAATTCCCTCCAATTTAATCACCTCTAAGGACTAATAATAGTATAAAAATGGTCACATAACATTACTAAACATAAGTAAAACCCAAATGGCAAAATCATCATGGCAGAAAGTTCAAAATTTGAAACTAATAGCATTTTAAGTGATATAAATTCAATATTCCTACCTCTTCATGTTCAATAGTATGTGCCAGGGGAAGTATAACTTGACTGCCAAAACCTCCTACTCGAGATCCTCGTAGGCTACAGGGACCAACATTAACAACTGCAGCTGAGTAGGCATCAATGCTGCAGTCAGCCCATTCTGATCTGTGTTCCCGTAGGAAACGAAGTAGGATTGCTGGAGGAACATTCTAAAAGAGACACCAAAGAGCAAAAATATATATATCAACAAAATAAAGACATGTCAATATGATAATTGCAACTATGCAGATTCTAGAAATATTCAGATAATAGGATGACTTTCAGTTTTGACAGAGATGGGAGGTGGGGAAAGAAAAAGCCCTCTATAGTAAGCATCGCCAAGTAGTTCATCAGAAACATATAAAGCATCCTCACCTGTAAAAGCATTGAGGCTACAGCACATAAGACTGAATTGCTGACAGATGGAAACCCATTAGCAAATGAAAGATTGAGGCCCATTAGCTTGTCAGGAGATGAGTTCACAAGTATAGTAACATCATCCATGCCATCGTTTCCCATCATTGACCACCCCTCATCAGTGAAACCATTGACAGCGTCATTAAAACCCCTGTTACGAATCGTTTAAATGGCATATAATTTTAACAGGCAGAAAATACTTTATGACAAGAACTTCGAAACTAACCTGCTCAACCTCTGGCTAAGTGCCCGTAAGGCTGCTGGTCGTCGACCCCAGCCAGTCACATTAGGTTGAGAAACCTCTTGAGCTATCTGCCTCAGTTGCCGTAAAGCCTAAAGGAAAATTAGAAAAAAAAAATGTATATCTTCACCGCTTTTCTAAAGCTGCAGCTATGGTAATCATGAATATACAAGCCTTCCTCCAAACAGTTTGAGATTTTCATGACACCAAAAGGAGAAGGGGAAAAATACATAAATGCCAACTGTAAAACCAATTTTACCGCCATCGTCGTTTTCTGAGCAAGCACTGTTGATGATTCATAAAGAGGGCGCAACACTTCTGGCACACTCCAAGGCTGGTTGATGAGAAACATTCCAATTAAGTTTAGCTAATACATATAGTTTAAAACATTGAAGACAATTTACATAAAAATAGAAAAGCATACCTCCAAATCCATATGATCCACAATGTGTATGATTGAAACACCCCCTTCACAAGGGCGAATAAGGTATCCACTCGCAAACATTTCTGCTCTCACAAAATTCTGCACTGGAAGCATGCTTGGGCCATTTTGAGTATTTTTCAGAGATCTCTCACATACCTAAGCAATGCAAAAGGCATTTATGAAAGAGATTTTTATTTATGAGATAAAAGGTAGGTGTGCCTGTGCCATTCATTGTATTATATCCAAAATAAACCAACTTATTCACATACCACGAGGCTTCCATCTTCTAGAACAGAAGTATAACGCAACAACCAGAAGTCGCGAGAAGGCGCCAATGTCGTTGGCGCATAGAGCTATATACAAAAAATGTGAAGTAATAATTAAACAAAGAACCAACAAAGTCTTGCAAACACAACAGAGTAGTGATCCCTCACCTGCATGTACAGCAACTCAATGGTCCCACCATTGGCAGTAGGCAGCACATTCAAAACATCCACAGCTCGGCAATCGCGGAACCACGAAGGCCTATCCTTGAGGAGTTCTGCAACCTGGAAGGAGCATAATTGTTTGAACTGTAAAGTTTAACTTCAATGTGAAGAAGACATTCTAACAGGCTACAAAGAGAATTAGACTTACCCTTGTAGGTTCAAGACCCACAAGGCCGCAGGCACGTGCTGCCACTCCAGGGCAACCATGAGAAATAGCAACGATTCCTATGGAATCCGGACCAGGCTGTTCAAGTAAAAAAGGAGATACAGAGAATAGATTAAAAACCAAATGCTGCTTAACGAAGCAATTGCATTCTAACTCAAAATTTACCCAGAAAGTTACAATTCAGGAAAGGCACGGCAAACCATTAAAAGAATAAAATAAGTCCTCGGGAAGGTTTGGGATTATTGAAAATATTAGGGGGAGGTCAGGATATACCTTCATTCCAGGCATTTGGACCCACTCTACAGCAGTTCCAGTGGCCTTTGAAAGAAACTCTGCTAAAGTTTCTTCTGCAATGGACAACAGCCTGGAAAAGAAATTACAAGTATCAGTTTTTTTTATAAGAATAGAATGTCTCATTAAAAATCCTCTTCATACTTCTCGGCATACAACTAGGTATGCCAATAGGTAGCGAAAGGAGGAAGCACAATGAAAGAAATGGATCAAACCCTGCAGGACTAGCATCTCTAGGAGGATTCTGCTGTGTCACACGGTGTTGACCACTTGTCATCGCCGATTCACAGCTAGGATCTTTGGTTGCAAGGGTCGCCTGCAAGTAGACAATCCAATCTTTTTCTCTGAATTTCCATGTAAATAAAATTCATTTACAGTACATCAATGCAAATTCAGTACCGATTTAGTTGAATTGGCAAACAGTTAAATATCTAGTTTTCTTGTTGTACTTAAACAAAATAGATGTAAAGAAAAAAATTACAGCTAGAAGCAACCACCCAGAAGCTAAGACAGAGAGCATAAATTCTCACATTCTGAGTATGCTGACGAAAGCAACCATTCTCATACACCAGCTGTGAGACCTGATTCTGCAACCTATCATTCTCCTCCATCAAAAGCTTGTTCATTGCTGTCAGCTTCCTATTCACAGCTTGAAAGCGTGATGTCTCTTTCCTCTGCTTCTCTCTACATCTGACAAATCCAAAACATACATAATAACGTGCATTATTAATTTTAATAGTTTTCCACCTGAAAAAAAATTCTGACCAACCAAGAACAAAACAAATACTAAAAATCCATATTTCACTAGTTGCTTATATTCGTTTCTTGAATCATTATCAATAAAACAGACTACAAGTTCATTGAAACACATAAGTTGCACTAAGCAATTGCACCAAAAGCAAACCTTCTATTTTGGAACCAAACTTTGATCTGTTTTGGCTCAATGTTGGAGAGAATAGAGCACTCTCTAATCAGCTGCTTCCGACGAATCGAACTGGGTTTAGGGCATTCATGATACAGCCTTTCAAGGGCCTCGACCTGCTCAGGTGTGTACCTTACATATTTCCCATTATCCAAGCTCCCAGGTTTACCATCCTTGCAGGACATTGCCATCTTTCAAACTTCACCCTTGAAATTTCACAGCTACCAAAAAAAACCCAAATAGCCGACCTTTCCTAATACCGCACGAACTTTTGCAGTTCCTTTTCCTCAAACCGCGAGTAACTTCACAAAACCACTAAAACTCAATCTAATAACCAAAGTTCACACTTTTGAAAAAAACCCAGCAAGAAGAACCAAGGAGAAGAAGGGTTTTTTTTTGCTTTGTCTCTATCTTCCTTGGCTCATAGTTTGGAAACTAAGAGGGCACAAATGGATTTTCTTCTTCTTTTGCTTTCAACTAGATTTTCCACACAAGTACCTGAAATCTTGAGACTACGGAATTGTTCAATGCTTTACTGTGAAATGTTAGATATGCAGAAGAGAAATAAAAGAGGACAAGAAGAATAAAACCCAACAAGGGACAACTATATCCTGATTGGAGATAGATTTATACTTGGATCGGAGCCTCTAAACCCAAATAACCGATCTGATTCACCCAACCATTTCTTTTCAGCAAACAAAAATTAAAAAACTTTGGCCTAGGAGAGAGTTAACAATTCCAATCATCCAACCTTTCGATATTGAGCCACCAAGATGCCACCTTTAAAATTAAACGGACCTTAAAAAAACGCAAAAGAAACGTTTTCCAGCTCGACTTTTCTCAGGATTCAAAGCAGCCTTTTTTCTCTCTCTATCTCTCTTCGTGAAAAACAGAGATTTATCCAGCTCAAACCCAAAGAACCACCTTTCACGGCACCGCTTCACCGGTCTCTATTTCGGGCAAGACCCAAATCGTCCCTAACCTCTGGAACATAGTTTATTTCTTTCCGGTGATTCAATCAACCAAATACCATAGCTTTACTCTTCACCATTAGAATTTTTCTTTTTCGAACAAAAAAAGATTTACAAAACAACAACCGAACCAGATTAAGAAAACATAAGAGAACAGTAGAAGAATTGTTGTTGATAAAATGGTTATGGTGGGCGTCCGAAAGGCAAAAAAAAGTAAGAATGGGCAGACAGAGAGAGAGAGAGTAGTGCTTTGATGGGCTATTGCTTTAGCTTTTGAGGGTTTTATTTTATTTTCAACTCATTATAGTTTGGTATTTTATATATTTGGTTCTTACATCTGCAAAGATTTTCATTGGTTCGTCACTTCTTTTGGCTTCATCACTGTGAAGTGAAACACAAAACATAGGAAGAGAGAGGGGGAGAGATCTACTTCACTGTGCATAACAGCAGACCAACGGCGGTAAAGTATGAGAATTTATTTTTTAATATTCTTATTTTGATTTGTTTTATAAATCAATTGTCCTGTTTGCCCTCCCCTTTGCTTCAAACACAATGCTTAAATACTCTCCTCTAATTATAACCTCTTTTGTCAGGAGATTTGATTGCGATTACTCTTTTACCCTTTGCCTTAAAAAATACGATATGACGATAAATGGCTCTTTCTATAAATAATTTGACAAAATGATGAAAATAATGGTTTGAAAAAATATATATATATAGAATGTTGGAGAAATTATTTTTTAATTAGGGCGAAATAAATAATTTAAAAAGAAAGAATATCGTATTATATGATGTTTTTAAGAAAATATACAAAAAACATGTTACGTTTTCTCAATTATTATTATATAAAAATTGACGTTCAAATTATATGCAGTTTAGGATAGATGTTCAATCTTTTAAGTGTTTTTGTAAAGCACGAAAACAATTCGGTCATTTTTTCTTCTGATATTGTTTATTTTTTGACAGTGATAGTTTTATAAATATATTTTAAGGTCAACATATATTAATAATAAGATAATTAAATAAAAATTTAAAATAAACTTCATCAATAAAATAAATGATTAATATAAAATTATTATATTTCAAAATAAACACGTATCCACGTTATAAAAACATTACCTCCGCCACGTGGAACTGTAAAGACGAGGATCTTGGTATTTCTTTTTATTTATTTTTCTTATGGAATTCAAAGCTTTAGTTGTCGAAATTTCTCTTCGTAATGATCTCAAACGCCATAATGTTACAACGACGTCGTTAATGAATATAGTACAAAAATTTAATTCCAATATATAATTTACTCACGCGATAAACAATTTGCTCATTATAATATTATATTTTTAAAAAATCACATTCTCATGCAAACTTTAAATTTTTAATTGGTTTCAATAAAATACTCGTATAAGTCGGAAGCATAAAAAAGGAGAGGGGAGTGGCAAAAGCGTTAAAATAATAAAAACAGATGGGGGAAATGGGTATATACAAAATTAAGAAGAAGAAAAATACAATGGTAAGAGATAGAGGCGGGGGCGGGGGTCAGTGTAGACATCATGATGAGATTTTTGCATGCGTCTCGATTTCCAACCTCTCTCTTTTATTCAAGACTCCCTGGCCACCATTCTCTCTTTTATTCAAGACTCCCTAGCCACCATTCTCTCTTTTATTCAAGATTTCTATATATATTTATGTTCGTTTGTTTAATTTTAATATAATAAATAAATGAATACGAACATAAACGAACGAATTTTATTATTTGTGTTTGTTCATTAAAGAATGTAGCTTATTTGTATTCGTTTATGTTCGTTCATTTAAATGATAAACGAATACAAATGAACGAACATAAAGAAACGGATGTAAACGAACATAAACGAACACAATAAATGAACGTAAACGAACACAAATGAACGAACGTAAACGAACACAATAAATGAACGTAAACGAACATAAATGAAAATAGATTTTTTTTATTTCCTTATGATTATATTATATTTAATTGTTTTGAGTTTTTATATTTGTATTTAAAATAAATGAATGTAAACGAACATAAATAAATTATTGGAATTTAATATTTTAAATAGGTATAGAGAGATTGAGCTAAACATAAATGAACGCACATAAACGAACGAACATAAATGAACGAATATAAACGAACGAACATAAACGAGCATATTACCGAACATTCACGAACGCAAATGAACGAACGAGCCCTTTGTTCATGTTCGTTCATTTAATTAAATGAACACAAAATATTATTCATGTTCGTTCGTTTAATAAAAAAACGAATTTCCCGTCAAACGATTTATATCTGTTTGCTTAATTTCCGTTCGTTTACATGCATACCCCTACTTACGATTCTTCTCGATAATAGCATTACGACTATACGAAACATTGAAGCTTATAATTTCATTTACTACTTTATTATCTTAAATCAATATATTTTATAAACAAATACATTTCATCGGTTTATTTAACTATTTTTTTATTTTCTCAGATTTTCATTCCACTAAAATTTTTATTTTCATTTCCTCCGAGTAATTATGATTAAATATATAATTTATTTAAAAATAATATATATATATATATATATATATATCATGGATAAGTATAATATAATATATATCCAAAGATAATTATTAATCATTTGATATTAAACGCTCGTATCTCTAAAATTTATGGTACTTGAATTCGATACCTCAATAAATAACAACAAGGTTTAATGCCCAAATAAGTGTTCAAACTATACATTTTGTGTCAAATAAGTGTCTACTTTTTTTTTACTCATTCTAATGTCTAACGGTATAAACGTTAGCACTTTAGGTGTCTGGGCTGTCAACAACATTAGTTTTCCCTATTATGTGACATGTGTCACAATCAAGTATTTTTGAAAAAAAATAAATATTAAAATTATTATTATATTTATAAAAAATACTAACTCTTTTTATATTATAAAGCAACCTTAAACCTCAAATCCTAACTTTAATTCACAGTCATCGCCATAGTTATTGTCGATTTTCCATTGAAATTAGGTGGAATCGCGATTTTATCATGGGGTTTGCTGGATTTAACACATTGATTTGTCGTCGATCGGTCGTCGATCATTCACAATTTCATAGGAGTTTTGGTCGTTGAGGGGAGGAGGTCGAGTGGAGTTTTTTCGACGACAAAGAGCGGTGGTCGACCTAGGTTTACAGGTTGAAATAAATGTCTTCAAAGTTTAGAGTTATTTCGAAATTTACGTGTTTTCTATTTTAAAAATATATAATTTTATTTTTAAGTTTTATATAAAAGTTTAAAATTATTATGTTGTGACACATGTCACCTAATGTGAAAAACTAACGCCGTTGACGGCCCGAGTACCTAAAGTGTTAACGTTTTTAACATTAGACACATGGATGAGATTAAAAAAATGCATGCACTTATTTGGCATAAAATGTATAGTTTAGGTACTTATTTGACCATTAAGCCTAACAACAGTTCTTTTAACACTGAGTTCGCTTAATTCATGCTTTTTTATATATATTAATTCTAACAAGTGACACACAATTTCTTTATAATGCTAAAATGATTTTATAATATTTGTAAAAAATATTAATTTAACCTTTGTTTTTTAATATTTCAGTCTAACATTTTAACTTTTTTATTTAACGAAAATAGTTAAATGATTAACCGTAACATATATTGATAATATGATATTTTTACATGTATTAAATTACCAATATATTATATGTTATATTATCATTTTGGATGACTTGACACATATCATATTATTATATTGATGATGTGTTATATGTCACACTAACAATCAAACAAATGTGAAAATCTTAAATCAGTAACATATATTAATAATTAATCAATTAACTAGCAATGTTCATCTAATATATGTTATTTTAATAAAATTAAAATATTAAAAATTAAAATACTTCTAAAAAATAATAATTAAAAATTATTTAAACAAATATTAAATACTATTTTTATCATTATACATTTCCATTAAAAACAACTTTAAAGGTTACACAATAACCGTCAATAACATGGCACGATGGCATTTATTGAAGATTTTGTAGTATTAATAGTGTTTATCGTGAAAAAATCGTCTTACCCTAATAATTAAAATATTTTTTAAAAAAAGATTTATGAAAATCCTACGTTTTCAATAATATTTGTTTAGTTTTAATTTTTTTTCATATAACATGACATTATGATAAAAAAATTATGGATAATTTTTAATAATAGATGATTAAACTAAAATAAAAATATATGTTTTTTTTATAAATTTATATTAAATATAAAATGATATTTATTCAAAAACTCTCAATTATTTGATATTGAACATTCGTACTCTCGACATTTACGATGCTCAAACTCAATATCTCAAAAAAATATCTTAATCATTGAATTCACTTAATTAATACATAATATTAAATATAATTTTTTAAAAAAGGAATTAAGTGATCATAACAAAACTACAAAAGAAATAATTAAATGACTAAATACTTAATAATCTGAATATCGATAATTCAAAATTTTCGAATAATTAGCACTACCTTATAAACGATCGAAATTAGAATAATTAATTTAATTTATATTTTTATAACAATAACAGGTAAAATGTGAACTTTATAAAGGTTATAAATCCCAAATGACCATTCGAAAATAAAGAGTTGCCTAAATATGAACCAATTTCGGGGTGAACTGATTCAATACACAAATTAATTCCCAACCCTAAATTTTAAATGACTAAAGATTTCATTGACACAAAGGTGCCCCAAACCTGCCATTATCGGTTGCAACCTTTTCGACGTGATTTGCTTTAAATTTCAATTCGTAATTATAAAAAGATTACATCATTAGTTAATCGCTGGTTTGAAAAAAATTCCATGATCGAATTCCAACGTTAAAATTGACAATTCCTTCTATGGAAAAACTAAAATATTAAGTATGCTCATAAATTATCCATTAACTGAACGGTATAATGAAATGTTTTAACATTTGTATAGATGCAATTCTTATTGTTTAGTTTAATGTCATCTAATGTAGTATTTAGAAAACTTAATCCAATACTATTAACACATCACATGCCATTTTACTGGAAATTGTTTATCATTATACAATAAAGGTGATTTTACTGAAATATCGTACGGGTAATAATTATCTATCAGACATTTTTTTCTAATATTACTGATCTAGCACTCTTTCTGACGGATAGTGATCCACGTCTTCGTGATGTTTTGTCCGATCTGGCACCACGTAAGGAAAAGTGCAGATTGTCATTTGAGCCTTAACTGAACCTCTGACATATTCTGACAAGGCGCAGATCGTCGTCCGCGTCTTAGCATTTTAAAAAAGTATGCTTTAAAAAATAAAACTATAGGGATTAATATCATAATTTAATACATATTGGTTCTATGAGTTGAATAGCTTAATGGGATTAGTTTATATATGCATA